GGCATTTTTTTTTCAAAAATTTTTTTTTTTTTTTTTTTTTTTTTTTTTTTTTGGTCCATACTGCACTCTCACCATGTCCACAGTAGGTATCATCCATATCCTGCTGGTTTTACTGATTCAGGTAATCTTACTGTTATGGTATGGGTTAGACTATTCCTGTATTATAACCAGGGAATACAGTTTACTAGAGCCCCCAAGGCAATTCTGTGGATATTTATTTTAAAGCTATTACTGCTATTGAAGTACCTATAAGTATACACAACTCTTCCTTTTGCATTGTAACCAAAAGTTTGTTGTTTTAAACTCCTCAGCTCTCAGACAATGTTTTCTAATAGTATGAGCTATATAGCAAGAGTGACTATAATATTTTAAGGAAATCTGGGACATTTGGTGTGTTAAACACACGGTAATTTAATCTGGAGCATTTCATGAATACTTTTTGTAGTGCTAGCCTTTCCTTTTATGCAGGATACAATCTGTGTGTGCTCCAAACTTGTTATATTTCTGCTACATGCTTCTTTTTTTAATGCTGTATGTGCCTGGCCTCCCTACTGTTTCATCCGTCAATAGGTCCCCGATGTCTCTGACAGGAAATATCTTTGTATGGACATGATTTTCTTGGAAAATAAGAAAAAAATCCGGACAGGTTGCTTTTGTGTTTTCAAAAAGACTGCCTGCTTCAGCATCTTTGCCTGTGGACAACCATGCATTGCTGATACTCCTGCCTCTCTTGCTTAATAGTTTTGAAAATGAACAGCCTCTTGTGTCTACAGATGCTCTGTCCCAGGTCCTGCAACGATAGGATTTACTTTTTCCTTCAACCTAATTTAGTTCTCCAGAATGCTTTTAGTTTCTGACCTCACAGGCAGCACATTTCTGGCATTGTTCAGTATGAAAGTCCCAGTTCACTTCTAAGATAAATCTGACACTATGCATTAGTCTTGTTTTATAGGGTGCTCAGAGGAAGGGAGATTCTCAGAGGAAGGGAGAGCCACACAGGATATGGTAAACAAAATAGACCTTTTATTAACCAGACTTCAAATACACACTGCATTCAGCAACTCAGCTGAGCACACAGAGCAAGAAGCAGTAGCTAAGTTTCCCTCTTAAAAAGGGGCAGTGTATTAGTTGTTCATGAATACAATACGCTTAATCTCAAAGCTATAATCCAAGCTACCTCTTCATTGCTTCCAACTTGCTTTTTTATATCTTTCCCATGTTGATGCAAGATGCTGACCTTTTAAAAGGAAGTTAACAAGATCCCTCCACCTCCCTATGAAGTTTCTTGTCCTTTTCTAGTACTTCCTTTTACCTCCATGGCCCTCTACAACCTTTCTGGTCTCCCTTCACAATGACCATTTGTAGTATCCCTGCTCTTTAAATTTTGCCCTTACCTTCAGCTGCCTTTCCAATCATCTCCTTTCTCTGAAATCCCGGACCAAATGATATGCATGTTTATGTTCATTAGCACCTCCATTCTTTACTTCCTCCAGTCCATTTCTTCCCCTCCATTCTACTAATCTCTACCTGGACAAATAAGGAGCTCTGCTCCACTTTTATTCACTTCCTGGTGGCTTTTTGATGCAACACACACTGGATGAGTCTGATAACCACTGGCTCTTGTCATTACCTTCTCCCATTGCTCTGACCCTTCTATGATCCATTTGGTGAATCCTCATTCCTCTGACACTCCACTCAAAAGTTGTCTCACCCTCCCTCCATCTCTGTGGTTTTAACCCTTAAGCTTCAATCACCATCTTCATGTTGATGACCCAAATCTACTTCTACTCTTGACCTAACCCACTCTTCACTGATCTGAGGTTTTCTGTTGATGTCTTGCTGGTTTTTAAATATAGCAAGGTAAATAACGATCTCCATCTTCCCCGACTTCCCCCAAAGTCTCTCCCACTTCTTTGTCATCTGTCAATCACTATGTAATAACGCCTGAAAAAACTTAACAAACCCCTTAAGGGAACAATACTTTTTAGTACCCCATGATGTTACCAGGGCCTTTTTTCTGTCAAAGCACATTAGTTGCCATTATTTTGGTTTACGAGCATCAAATAGTATATATAGCACTTAAGTAAGACACTTTTCTCTTTCAGGAAAAAAGTGCTTAAGACATCACTCAGATTTATTCCAAAAGTCCATGCTGTCAGTCTTGTTGCTATGTTTCCCTTTGTTGTCACAAATTTATAAACATCCACAAGAAAGAAAGCAGCATGTCTTACCTGTCATTGGGACTCTAAAATAGTTTATAGATTAAAACTAAGTAGCACAGATAATTTTTTCAGCACCATATTCTCTCAAAATAGTCTTCTACATCTTTTTTTTATAATAGACTCCCCTTTTTAGACAAATGGAGGCTTCCAGTAAACAAAGGCCTCTCAGGTTCATTCATAAAGGAATATGGTACCATGCAGACCACTTCAGCCCTGTGGGGGGAGTAGGCAGGGAAGATGCCAAAACAACAGGATGACCCATTTTCTGTTTTTGCTGCTGCCAACAAGGGCTATAAGGATTTGTTTAAAGTGGAGTCTCTACAACTTTGCAATGAATCTTTCACAGAGCTCCCCCCTCCTTTAGCACTTCTTGCTGTATTTTACTTGCCATCAGTAAAGGTTACTGAGGAAAAAAATATTAAGCCCCTTCCTTTGTATTAACTATTTATTCATTCATTCATTCCATTACACAGGAATTCAGTTTACCTGCTTTAAAGCCGGCTCCCACTAGATCTAGCTCCTTTCTTCTCCTGCTCTGGGTAGTATGCACTATTTTAAGCCCATCTCCTATTTTGATTGCATTCTTGCTCTATTTCAATAAACAAGTTTGCATAAAACGTTTTGGGGAGGTTGCCAGCTGCTACTAGTCTAGAAAATAGTATGCATCTTCATCGGTAAAGATTTTTTAAAATTATGCAACATATACTCATCTTAAAACCTTGTGGCTAATTCCACAAAAGGGCAGGTACTCAAGTCCAACACTTATGTATAGTGAGGTTCTTAAAAACCCTTGCTCTGCTGCTAACTTTATAGGCACTTGGAGTCCCAAGGCATTTGAGTTTGTCAGTGAAGGTCCCAAGTTGTGCATGTGGATATGCATGCACGAATTCCAACACTACCGAACCGTACTGGCCCAGGGGCTAATGCACTTATCTGGAAGGTGAGAGAAGCAGAATTCCCGATCTAATAGCTATTTGTGTATACAAAAATAATGCAACTTCATCAGCAAAGGCAGTTTCCCTAGTAGACCCACTAGATTGCTGGCAAGGGCACTCTTCTGGGATGTGAGACACCTGGATTCAAATTCTTGCTTTAATTGGCATTGCCCAACTCCAGAAGTTTTACTGTTCAGAATCCTAAGTCAAGTCTGGTCCCAACTACCTTTGAGGCAGGGACTGGTAATCTCGGCATTTTTGTACAAGTTAGTTTAGGCAGCTTTCCATTCAGCTTGCTGGCTTTTGCAAATCCTTTTCTAAGACTCTCAATACAATGTATGGGGAAGCCTGGGTTTCTAGCTTGGGGCTGTGACTTCCACTATGGGGAAGGACACCTAAAAGTTAAAGTGCTGCAATGCCTAAATCCATTTGTGAATTCAGCCCCCAATGCCTTAAGGTACTTAAGTCAGGGAAATACCTTGGCAGAATTCAAAGAAAAATTACACCTTTTTATAAGAATGAATGCTTCTGTAGCGTAATCACTAGAATAAAAAGCTTAGTAGCCTGTCAGTCCCCAGGGTTCAAGTCAAAAGCCAACATACCTACTAGGATCTAAAAGACATTTCTTTCTCATATTTAATATTACACAATTAGGTCCCTGTCAAATAGTCATTTACTGAATGGACCACTAGTCAAGTCTGCTGTGGCAATTCTTAAGCTAGAGATAACTGAAGAGACACACAATTTTGTAGAATTCTCTTAGCAGTAATTTACCCAGGTGATATGTTCAGTAGTGCTTTGGATTACAACCTATTCCTGAACCCAAGACAAATATAAAAATATATTTTCCGTTAGTCTACTATAAAATGCAAATATCTAGTTAACATATTAGTACAACATGTAAAAATTTATATAGTTAAAATAGAATTGTTAAAGCTAGCAATGCAGTTATTCTCCTCTACGTTTATATGTCAGTGGCACTGGTTTACCTCACCACCTACATTTTTTAACTCTAAATTATTAAACAGTCTACTGAATGAAGTATCGCTCATGTTGTGGGGGAAAGGGATGAAGTAGAGACTGTTTCCCTTTCAGAAATCTGATCTACATAATTCGTAGTTACATAAACCAGTTGTTAATAATTAACTCAGGTTAATACTACACTAGTTAACAGCAATTCAAATATCAATTTTTAAAAAGTCCTTCTGAAAAAACAATTTGCACAAATTGCATGTTTTCATGTAGTTAAAGGCCAGTTACAAGTACAAAACCTGGCAGTTCCCAATAAAAAAAGGAAGATTCCTCAGTACTGTATCAGTCAGTAAAAAGGCATATTTACATACTGGCAAGCTAACACTTATTCTTCAAATTCTAAACATGTGGACTAAAAAAATACCAGTTCAATCTACTGACTTTCCATCACAGTTTAGTTTTATGCAAAGGAGTAACAGCAGGGGTAGAAGGAAAATCATTAACTCTGAGGTGCACCAAAGCAACAATAAGGAATCATAAATACCCGAATAAGAACTGGTACAATAAACTTTTGTCACCATAGTATATTTCACAGTGTCTAAATAGATACAACAGTTCAGGATGCAGCTTTGTTTTCCTGAACAAATTAATCCCCTTGCTTCATTTAAAACTGAAAAGTAAAAAAAAAAAAAAGAAAAAAAAAAAAAAAAAAAAAAAAAAAAAAAAAGCACAAAGGATGGGAATGTTTTTTTATAGCTGCAATGTTATGCTGTGACTTACCAACATTTATGGTTAGGAGCATCAACAAAATTGTAGACTTTACCATGTAAAAAATATTCCAAACTGGTTAAAAGCACAATCAGATTTTCTAACAAAAGATTTAATGTGTAGCTAATACATAAGGTTTACGTAGTAGAACCAAAACCAAAAACTCCCGAGAGTCCTCTACTAAAATGAAATAATATTAAAGTCTCTATTCCATGCTTGGTTATGTCAAAGTAGATGTTAGCATAACTGAAACTAGTCATATCCCTCCATTTTCCAAGTATGAAAATGACTTATGTAACTAGTAATGATCTGAGACATGGCTAAAATTCAAGCCACGTGGGCATCATTTAAAAAAAAATCATCCGCTTGTTTCACTGACATAGTTAACATCAAACTAACTTAGTTTAGGTTTTAAACTAAATTAGAATGTTTTCAGAATGATGTCTTTAGCTTTCAATTAAGTTATAGGCTTAGATCTATAATTTCAAGATGGGAATATTTTTTGTTGTGGTTTTAACACTCATCTGCCCCAATATTTAATTTTTCCCGTTTCAATAAAAGGTCCAGATCCTGAAAAACTTTATTAAGACGCATAGGTGTTTTTAAGGAGGCACAGACAGATCAGGCATTACAAGTATGAATATTAATGCAATTATCAAAAGTCACGTGGCTGAAACAGCAGAATATGTATATTTTCCACTATACAAGCTCCATAACCTTAAGGTAGCTGGGGTTTCTTTGTATCTGGTTCAGGTTCTTATAATTCATCCACTGAAGTGATCATCATTTTGCTGAGTTACAGAGCTTCATTTTAATAATGAAAAATGGTCTCTCTAATCCAAACTGCTGTGTGTTCCATTTAGAAAATACAATACATTTATGAAAAAATGTAACAGACTGAACTGGGGAACACCTTCACCATGCTGGATGTGAATTAAAGTGTCTGGTGATGGATAAACTAAGACATTTTCAGTCGGTATTCTGAATGATAAGAGTCATAATTAGGCAAGTAACAACTGATCTACTGCTTATCCCAGCTACAATGAACAGCACTAGAGTGTTTACATTGGTTTATTTATCAAAAGGCATATATGACATACTCCACTCGTCACCTTCACAAGTTGTGAAACTTAGATTATACCTTCCAAAAACTTGAGTTAGCAACTTTGTCAGGTGAAGAATGGTTTTAAAGGAGTTTTCTCCAGGTTTATTATTTCATATAAGGAATTTTAAAATGTGGTATTTAAAATGGACATCTAAATGCCTAAAAACATCCTGGTTTTAACTGTATGCATTGCTTGAGACAGAGAAACAGGAGCCAATACTGGACACAAGGTGATGGGGGAGTATCTGCCACCATCTCCACCAGATAAGAGTTCCCATTCAGTCTTCCTTAGCTGTAAGGTAAGAAGGTGGTTTACAGATTTTGTAATCACTTTGTGTACTGCCTTTTCAACCACACTTTTTTGTAACAAGACATTGGGCATTCATTCTGCTGACACTGTAGCAAGAACACTTACATCAGCACTTCTTTGTTTTACTGTAAACCAGAATATTCTTGGAAAATTACATATCATTTTAACAGAGAACAGCTCTCTGAAATCCCTATGTTATGGCCTTTCTGCACTTCAGGAAGTATGGGCATACCCTTGACATACATATTAGTGAACTGTCAAATCATGCATTTAAGATTAAAGGAATGCTCGCTCTTTTATTCCAGTGCTGAATTACGATTGATATGGTTTATAATTCTCAAGTCAAATGTTTTTCTGTTTGTAGAAATCCTGTTTACTGTAAAAAGTAATTTGCTTAATGCTCAAGAAAGGTATATACACTATTACTGCGGCAAAATAAAAATTTTTGTTCCAAATGAATTGTTTCATATTTACTTTGAGACCACGAACCATTTGTATTAAATAAGAGCAAAAAACTTCTCCAGCTTGGTTTAGATCTCTAGTTTCAAGATAGGAATATTTTTTGTTGTGTTTTTGACACTACAATAAAAAGCAGCTCCCAGCCCAGATGCTCTATTTCCAGAGAATAAGTTTGTACTTGTGTGAGCAAAAGACTACAGGCAAGTCAACATACATTAGTTTCATTTGTTGTTTATCTGGAACCAATTCAAGTTGCATACAGATCAATTGAGAGCAGACCAAATTTTTGTCTCTTCAAAAAGATAAAGTACTGTAGCATCAGCATCCTCTACTAGGTATACAAGTTCTCCACACTTGTATTACATCACAAAAAGTGGGGCTGCTAGTGGCTTTAGCTGTCAATGAGTTGCTTGTCAGAGTGTGCCTGTGATTCCATATACAAAAGTCTTATATCACTGCTTGGTTTAGGGCACCCCATCACCACCACCACCTTCAACAATTAGTTGATGTTTCTTCTTTTGTCTTATTGCCAAACATCGTGTAATGCCCAGTGCCCCTCCTTTTAAAAAACGTACAAAATTGTCTCCAACCAAAGGGCCCAATGCAAAGAGATTCATTTCTTTAGTGCACTCATAAGTATATGGATCAATCTCAATAGGATTACCCTTGCATGTGATTGGTTGGTTTGAATTATGACCTATGCACTGCCCTTGGTCCTTTAGAAAGAAAAGATTAGGGTGAGAACCTATCAGAACTAAAGCTATGGAGAACTTTAAGATTTTCTTCAATCCAGAGGCACTCTGAAGGACACATTTCATGTCTGGCTTGAAGGAAAGTACATGGTGCTCAGGGAAACTGGTATAAGCAGAATGTATATTAGAGTCCGCAGTATGTGACTGAGTGCACATCATGTGGTAGACTTTATGGTATTCGGGATAAAGCTTTTTAGGTAGTTGTTTGAAAATTAGACCTGAATCAGTAACCCTTCTGCGGAACACATGCATTACAGGGATGTTGTTATTGTAGGCACACAGTATTGCATCAGCTGCTGTAAGTCCAGCACCCACAATTAAGACTGGGTCTACTTTTCCACGGAATTTCCCTTTGCTGATGGCAGCTCCAAAGTCAGACATCGAATGAAGCACAAAGGGAAAATCTTCTCCTTCAACCAGGAGTCGGCCAGGACAATCAAAGGTTCCAGTTGCAAGTGCCACATTCTCAGCAAAGAGGCAGAATGGTACATGTGAACCATCTGTTGCTCTATGATAACCTCTGACTTCCCAGTTTTTTTTGATCAATGGTTCCTGTCCATCTTCTGCTTCCACCTGCAAATGCCGAGTTGAAATATTTTCACTTAGTTGGCATTCATCTTCATCCTTTTCTCGGTAAAGTCTTGATACAGATGTTATGTAAGTATTATCTCTGAAGTTCTTCTGGAGACCCATAACCTTAATGTATTGTTTGTAATAACAAGCTATTTCCTCTGGCATTACTCTGTCACTCTTTATATTTCTGAAAGAAAATCAAAGAGGTTCAATCAATATTTAAGCCATAAATGGTGGTCTGAACATCACACTTCAAATAGTGTCTGTGTAGGTTTAAATTTAAGCAGGATTGACTCTGTTCCTCACTCATAACATAACTATATTGAGTTCAGTAAGTTTTACTACATGGAATTTGAGGACTGTAAAACTGCTCTCTTCATGCTGATTATACAGGGCAGGGGTTTTCAACCTTTTAAGTTCATTGTACCCTCAGTGGCCAGACTGGGGGGAGCATGGCCAAATGCAGAGTGGCGGTAGCCGCTGCGTGTGAGCTTCCCCCACCCCCTGTGTCAGGCTGGGTGGGCAGCACCTGCACAGCAGCGCCGGATAGCATGTGGCAGCGCTCTATCCCCACCCACCTGTGCGTACCCCCTAGGGCCTTGTCATGTACCCCCAGCTGACAACCCCTGATATAGGGTAAGGTTCCCAAATATGTTAAGCACATTCCTCCTATTGAAAAAAAACCCTATTTTGGAATAACCCACCATAAATCTGCTTTGTAAAAGCAAGCTTGCCCAAATGCTGATGTATGAAATTGTGTCTGCCTACTGCTACTCTTGTGCAAAATTCTGGGTTGGTTGTTGGTAGCTGTCCTTCCTCAATCAACCTGCTGTAGTCTGGGATTGCTGTGTGTTAAATATTTATGTATGATATGCTACAGAGGAAATTCAGAACTATCCAAAGGAGACAGGTCAACAAATCTCATTGAAAATATCCCCCGTGATGCATTTATCACACAAAGTAAAGCTGATAAACACAATAAATGAAGAAATATTGTAGCAATTTTTAATGGAACATATTCCACAGAGCCAGTTTTAACTTCCTGATAGTTGAGAATAAAGTATATACTTAAGCAGGGCACCCTTTCCCCTGGTCTGGATCTGGCCTGCCAAGGAGCTCTGTCATCTGGATCTGGCCCCACACTGGAAGTGATTTTGACACCCCTGATTTAGACACCAGGGCCAGCCTCAATCTTGGTTGTTTTATCATTCTGGATTTAGCTTAAGGTGCTGCACCCACTTTAGAAATTTGTATTTTGTGTTTCAAAGGCAAATAATAACTGATACTAGTAAGATGCCTTTTAGATGGTTTCAAGAACTTTGCTACTTTAAGACAAATCCAAAATGATAAATCAAGAGATTATGGTGGCCATTATCAACGTGCATGACTTTTTTTGGTAAACATATGGACAAAAAGCACTTCCTGTCTGTCTCGGGTAGGTTACTAAGATATAGGCATATGCCCTTTTAAAAATTCATGTTATTACTCTGAGAATCCTAGTAAGATATTTACTGAAGAACAAGCTTGAGAACTTATGATGAGCACGAGCAAGGGAAGAGGGAAGAAGGGGCTGTGTGGAGGAGGAGGAAATGTGGACGTGCAGAGGTGGCAGGGGAAGAGGGGTCAGGCAGCAGCTCAGACCCTGGGTAGAACTGTATTAGAATCAAGTACATTTTTTAAAAATACACCTTGTAAATACTTGTCACTATTTCCTCATCCAAGAGCCCCAATTCTGGAGGGAAAAAAACCCAGCATAATTTATATAGGTGTAAATGTATGTAAAATCCTGTTTAAGACGATGATTAAAATTAAGTCCAAACAATTATTTACAGGACAAAACTGCAAAGGCATAATCTATCACTACAGTTTCTCTCATAGAAGTCAGAGTCTTAAAATCTGTGGGACTCCCTCTGCTTTTTACATTTTCATTCCAGAATGGGACCTACCTGTGACTATCAGGTCACTGAAGGAAGGAATACAGTAGATTCATGGTTTATTTTCCTTTACCAAAAAAAGAAAAAATTGTCCCCAAACTTGTATTTCAACCACCACAACTCAAATGTCACCTATTTCCACCTCATCAATTCTCCCTTTGGACCCTGACCTTTCAGTCCATCAAACTCAAGCTACTTCAACTGCCACAACCAAAGCTGATTTCATGCCTCAGCTACACACTGAAGCAGGTCCAGCAAAACATGACCAGGTACAATGTTTATTACCATTATAAACTAATGTCATTGATTTGATGGTAATAATCACTACCACATTACCATTAGTAAGATTTTTTCCATACTATGCTTACACTGTGCTACAGAAAGGGCTTTTGCATGAAGGATCAAGATCACAGCTGCAGTTTAAGACTGCATTAAGGCTAATTTTTAAAGAAAGAGGTTCATAAGCACAATGTAATGACTCCCAAGATTTACTGATGCTCCAGAAAGGCCTACAAAATGCCTTTTGTGTGCATTTTGTAAATATCTCAGTGGGCTAATTTTATATGGGGAAACTAGTATATTTGTTTTAAAAAGCTACTTTAAAGTGACCTTCAGGTTCCAATTTGAAAGCTTGTGGGAAAAGGAGTTTAAAAGAAAAACCTAATGATTAATTTCATTTTTAAAAGTAATTAGTACAATAGAAAAGAAGGTGAAAAAGCAAGTAAATCATATATTCTCTGTAGAAGCTTTCTACCAGTCAAAGACCTTGAACCAGATCAAACAAAAACAAGTTTATAACCTACATGTTTATGATTGGAAACTGGTCAGTGTCACTTGATGAATCGTTTTATTTTAGCAACAACAAATGTCCTTGTCTAGTGCCCTCAAGGAAACAGAACCATCACTATAAGCATAGGCCACATCCTATCGCATCTATTAGGTAGCTAGATGAACAAGGTGGAATAGAATAGGTGCCTGAGTACAAGTCCCTGAAAATACATTAATCTATGTTTGTACCACAGTGCCATCTTACCCTTAACACCGAGTGATTCTACACATTCATTAATGTGCCGCAATTCCAGTGCATTAAATTTAATACATGTAATAACTGGCACTAATTTTATATGCTGTAATTGGCATTACTGCGCATTAGTGCAGATGAATGCTTAAGTATTGTTAACGCATGCTAGACTAAATCTGCACATTAGCATAGTTTTTGCCAGCTGTGCTAATGCACAGTAAAATTAGTCTTCTACACATGAACATGTGCCCACTGAGCAGTAAAAAAAAGTGAGAAAAAAGGGACACCCTCACCTGCTGTAGTAACAGTTTTTCAGGGACTTGAGCAAGATGGAATAGGATCACACTGAGGCACCTCAGTTCACCTACGCACATACTAGGTAGAATAGAATTTGGCTCTAGAACTATTACACAGCACCCCTCAAACCTGTATTTATATAGTGTTCATATCTACATTTATCACTTTAAGAAATCTGGTGCCTTTACCTCCGTTTACTAGCTGCCCAATCCTTAAATTTGAGTCCCGGCAACTCCATCCAGTCTCCAAAACTGATCGTCAACATGGAACCTTCCATTGTCTATAGGGGGGGGAAAATCATCAAATTAAGTGTGACAGTTACATTTTAACACATATACTTCTTCTAAATACCAATCAAGTGGTTCTACTGCATCTTGGCACCAGAAATATTGGATCGTTATGGGGATGCAGATCAAACAACATTTCAGGTTACGATTAGAAAAGCATTCTAAACTACACAGTTTAAAGTTAATGAAGAAAAAACAAAGCACTACAAATGAAAGCATAAAATATTTCTAGTTCCATAATTTTAGTAAGAAAAAAAAAAGCAACAAGAAACCAAAAGACTATGAACATCAATTCCAAACTTTGCTTCATAATTTCTGGAAACAAATCTAAAAGGAATGGATGATGGGGAAAAAAAAGAACAGAAAAAAAACACAAATTCAAAGAAGTTACTGAATAATCACAGAATCACAAGGTAGAAAGGGATCTAAAGAATAATCTAGTCCACATACAAAGCCAAAACTTTTTGTTCCTAAACAGAAAGACAAATGATACATGAGACAGTGGTGAAGGTCAGAAGTCCCAAATAGTAAGTGGAAGTTTGGATTAAAAAAAAGGCAAGGAAAAAAACAAGATGGCAAACTGTAAATATTATCTTCAGTGGAAAAAAAGTTGTTTTTTTTTTTTTTTTTTTTAGATGGAAGCTGGTTAGACCCCATGCAAAAGAAAGAAAAGAGATCTGATCCAACAGAAAGTAAGCAACAAGTACAAAAAGAGATCCTGTTATCTAGAAACCTGACAAGTTGGAAAGGTTGATTGTGGGATAAGACTGTAAGCACTAAAAGCTGAGATGGGTACTGTCTTACAGAGAATCAGGAATTGTCTGATGAAATTTAAGAGAATGCTTATTCAAAGAATATTTTGAAGAAACACTCGTTTTACTGAAAGTTCAAAGCAGAGGTGGAATGCTGCCTAGTTTCCTACAAGCTCACCTGATGAGCTGCTCGAAAGCCCCCACATGCAGTCTGCCCAAGATCAGGAACATGTGTTCCAGGATCTCTACTAGGAAACCAGAAGCCTGAAAGCTCCAGATCTTCTCAAAATTTCTTGAATTCATAGTAGAGTTTGGAAGCTCTAAGAACCTTGCCTATATTCAAGGTCTAAGAACACTGGCTGGAAACAAGAGTCTGGAACTGAACAGTGAACCTATGGCAACTGTGAAGATCCTAAAAAGCTGTAGTCACTGTGAATCCCACTGCAAATTGCATATATGCATCACAGGTGCACAATCTGATTCTCAAATAAGCATGTCTGTCAGAATCAGGCATGTATCCAGTTCCCATCTAACAGAAGGGAAGGTGGAGGGGTCACAACTGTCCCAATTCAAAGCCCATGTTTGCCAAGTGTCTCTGAAGTGGAGAAGGAGGCTAGGTTGCAGATCCAGACTGACATCTACGTCAGTTACTACAGACGGAGCAATATTTTTGAATGTGTGTAAATATGAGCTGCACTGCACGTGAAATGGCAAATATTGTTCACATCAGGATAGCAGGAAAGAGGAGTACCAGGTGTATCAGTCAAACAGTTTGTTCATCCAAATCTAGGACTGGATCCAATGCATAGTGCTTCAAGAACATAACCAGCCTGCTCCATGCTGCAGTCTCAGAGATCCCCAGTATCCAAAAATCTAGCACAGTAAACTCTGGTGGACTACAAGAGGTACTTCTGATAGGCTAACTAGTTGAATAGTGTGACAGACTTATCTACTTCCTGGTAAAATAACCTGACTTTTAGAATAGTTACTACTCATCCCTATGAATAAACATAGCTCTAAATATTTCAGATAAACCCTATCTGAGAGTATTGTATGTTCTCTCACTATTTGCAAGGGAAGTTAGGGAAGAATATAGGCAACAGCTGAAACTAAAATATGACCTCAAAAGTCAATTTTAAACAAATTCTAAGCACCACTTTATATCTCATTCCAATGGGCTATGCAGAGGTTCCTCTGACTTATTTTAGCAGTTCGCTCTCCTAGCTGTGGCAAGAGCAAGATAGTGAATGAAGCTCTAGATGAGAGACTCAGACGGGAAGATCTGTGAGCCTCAAGGGACAATACTGGTCCCATGCAAACGCAGGTTCTGTGATAGTGTGCATCCGACCCTTAAAAATGCTGATAACAGATGCAAGAAAACAGAATGCCAGTCTGTCACAGGGAGATGTACGTGAAAGAGAATTTGGCCCAATGTTATACGGCAATCACTCTGGGCACAGCAGGAAGGCCTAGAGACGCTCCTAATGCCGCTACAAGACAAAAATATCATCCAGGGGAGATCTAAGATCAAACTTTGTCTGGAAAAGACTACATTTTATTTGGTGGCAGACATTTATTCCCACTTCTACTCCACAATAGTGGAAAACATTTTCTGCAGTAAGCATGCACAGCTAGAAGCCAACCGTCTGGACACCTACCATCTCATTGCTGCTGCAGGGCTAACAGAGTGTAGACTAGAAACAAATGTTGCCAAATGGAGAGATTCAGCTGTGACAATGTGTCATGACACAACTGAACCACTTCACTGGGCAAAATAAACATTGCCCCTTTGATGGTATGAGACAAGGGGCAATGTACTCTCCCAATGTACTCTCCCTACTTTTCCCACTGCTCCAGATCCACGCTGTAGGTCTGGGGTACTGAGGAAAAGTGCCTCTCCACCCAGCCAGTCTCTTTATCTCTGGAATAGTGAAGGACAAAGAGAAATGTCATACAGAATATCTTAATGATATAAAGCTCTAGAATGTTTATGATGTTTCTTGTCCTCTAATCAACACATCCCTTGTATATGGAGATGCAGCTGGACTGGTGCGGTGAATGCTGACAGGTTTTGAACAGTACTCTCTGACATTATCAGGTTTTAACCATCAGCTCAAAAGGACAGTCATAAAAAACAGAATTAGAAGGGATGGAGTTGGTTGATGTCCCCTGGAGGAACAGACTGACCCAAACTGAGTCAGATTAGAGAAGGCCTTAGGAAAAGCCTGGTAACTGATGTCATGCATGTTCGAACAGGCACAAGACATTAGGCAAAGTGGAATCAAGGCAAGGTATACAATTGTCCCCTTTATCTAGGGACTAAATTGAGGCAAGCAGGCCTGTGATGCTATTGACTCCATCTTGGCTTCTAGGAACTTTGTTGCCTATGCTGGAGTTGGGAACGATTTTTTGCACTTCACATCAGCAGCTGAACAGGACTAATACATAGTTTAGGTTTGTCAGTTTCTTAGCAAGACTTTCCTCTGATCAACTACTCATTAATTACCTTTACATTACACATATATCTTTTTTGGTCAGTATGTCCTTGGAAAATTCAAAGTACTTCATATTGGTAATGTTTTTTAAATAGGGGGACTTCCTGTAGACCAAGCAATGGCAATGTGGAAGTATGCTTCCTGCAAGTTGAGATCCACAAACCAGTACTAGAGAAGTAGTACAGAGCGCGGTGGGTGTAAAAGGTACTTTTGAAAAGGGTCCCTGGGGAAAACAACAAAAAGGGAGAAATAACAGGGAAGTGAGCTGTTGTTAATATGTTCTGTAGTTCCCAAGGGAAATCTATACCCAAGCCTAAGGGAAGGGAGCAAGGCAGTTTCCAAAGATTTGTTGTGGGGTTTGAGTTTCAGTGTGGCTCCTGAACTTAGTGTCAAACTCACTACCTTTGAAATGGAGGGGTGTGAAAGATAGTACATTCCTTCTAAAACTGAAAGGCTGCTCCTTGGATGAGCAGCCTACCCGAAAGTATGAATGGTGTTCTTTGTCTCCGACAGGTCTAGTATCAGAAGATTCTTTAGCGTGGCACTAGGGTATAAATTCTCAAGGACAGCAGGAATCTTTCAGCTAACGTACAGCTTCAAGTCCTAGAGTGAGATATGTCCATACTCTGGACCTCTCTTGGTAGATCAGGCACACGTCATCAAAAACTTAGTACATTATGAGAGCTGTTGCCATTGACTTGGCTGCTCATCCATTTTCACCTACAGTACTGCTTTATAATCGCCATTTATCCTTTTTTGGCCACCTTTTCCTAGAACTTCTGCATTCCTCCAGGAATCTGGGCAGGAGCTATGTTATTTTCTCCCAAACGAAAAAGCTGTACTTTGTGAATAACATTAGATAATTTGCAACCCTGGACTGTAAAGAAATAGAAGCTACCTTATCTGTATGAGCTCCAAGCTTCTTTGGAAGGCTTTGACTGATCCATCTTCTTTCTGGTTTGCTGAAAAACTGAGTGATCGCAATAGAAACTATTCAGTCTTTGATTAGAATAGATTGTACTGCTAAAGGCCTTTCACAGGTTCCACTTAAAGCTCATCTATCAGTGCCGTTCTTCTCAATGCCAAGGCACTTAGTATGAGGAACAGTTATTACACATTTTCCTGAATTATGGTCTACTCCATATGGCCATCCATGTCTAATACTTGACATGAGCTCCTGGAGTGACAGAACAGGGATGGTAGTTTCACCAGGGAGGAGGAGACTCTTTAGCCAATGAAGACAGATTGTTTCATCTCATGATTTAGTCTGAGGCTACTGAGATTCCAGGGAGGGTTATCAGTACTGTAGGTAAACAGGATTTGCGTTTGACGGTGAAGACATGCAACAAGACACTGCTCTGGGACTCATGGAACTATGATATTCAATCAGGTCTGTAGAGCCAAGGTGGCATACTGGACTAATACTGGTCTTTAGTCCTGTAATAGGAATCAATACTGGGCTATCCTGGATAACTTGGTAGGGTCCTTTTCCAGCTTCTTCAGCAAGGGCTCACTGCTGGAAATCAGGGAGAAATGTCTTAAAGAGAGAGGAAAAGAGTTCCTTTGCAAACAACCTTGTACTAGATGATCTTGGTGGCAGTACCTGCAATGTCAGAAGGAAGAAGACGACAAATCCTCAAGGGCAAACTTCAACATCAAAAGTAGAATCCACAAGGAGTGCCAAAGTTGACATCAGGAATACTCTCAGCATCACCAGCACATTCAATAGCATGGACTCTTATACCT